CAAAGAAGATCCAAGCGCCCCAAAAAACCAAGAAAAAATTGGAATTCACAGAAAAGTCCTTCAAAATTCCCAGCATGCTCATGCATTATCACTTCGTATAGGACATCTTTCTATGCAGCTGCTGTATTTTTCTCTTAGCTAGAAATTGAGAAAACGAAGTTTTTCATGTTTTTTCCAAAACGATGCTGAGACGTTCTAGCACTGACAGTTGTATACTATAGGATCTTAGGAACGTGAATGTAAATTTTCAGCTCTTTACAGCAGCTGGTTTACGAGAAATATCGAATTTTTGGCAGCTAGGCAAGAAAAATTCGGATGAAGAGAGCTAGATTTGCCATTTCTCGTAAACTAGCAGATCCAGAGGGCTGAAAATGTAAAATTTTACTGCTAACGGCATGTGCTATACAACTGCCAGTACTAAAACATCTCAGCACTAATTTGGCAGAAACGCGAAAAACTTCGTTTTCTCATTGTCTAGTTGAGGAAAAAATACAGGAGCCGCATAGATAGATGTCTTACGTGGAATTTCTACGCGAAAGAAATTTTTAAAAAGCTTTTTGAACGAAGTTACAACTTTGTTTTGATTGGTTTTAAGTTTCGGACGCATGGTTTTTTTCAGTTTTCGGCTCAAAACTTCGCGTGAACCAAAGCTGGTGAAGATATTTGAAAACTATCTTGTAGAGCTACGTTTGCGCTATCTAATGATGTATGGAATTCTATATGGGATACAGGATAATTCCGAGTATTGCAGTCTGTACCTATTTTTGTTGCAGGAATTATGCATCAACCTAATACATAACCACGCGCCGGTGATTTTGACCCCCCCCCTTAGTTACATAGAAGACATACTACAGCGGCCGTATTCGGCAATGATTTCGATGGGTTCCGTGGATTCGCGGTCTCCGTTGGTCAAGATCTACCCACCTTGATGAATTAGAAATAAAACCTCTTCGGAAATCACCATTTATTAGGTTGAACACTAAGTTTTGCAACTTTTCTCATAACTTCCCTCTCACTCAACATGGTGCACTCAAATTTTGCCACTGTGTTGGTTATTATGTATACTACAAGCGCAGCTGCTGTACTACCAAATTCTGACGTCGCAGTGAGGGTTACGGTAGGTGCATTGTATGAAGGGGAAAAATTCAAAGTTTGACGGGTTTGGCTGAAACTTGGCATAGGGATGTTATCCGACATGCTGATCACGAAAGCGATAGTGAAATTGCGCGATAAGGGCTTTTTATAGGATTAATGTAGGTGTACGACATGGGGTCTCACCCTAAACAAGGAAAAAGGCATTGATCCAACAAATGAATATGATATTCGCATTCGGCAGGTCAAATAACCTTACTATGTGAAGTCTCGGCGGAATTTGAGCTTCGGACTCTTTAGTCATTGACGGTCGTCCCCAGCAGCTCTTGCGCACATCGACTCGTTCGAATTTATGAGGACGCCAAATCTCAACATGTCCCTAAATTTTGTTTCTTTCCTAATAGACCAAAGGAGTCAACCTCCATCAATAATTTGCAGACGAATCCGGATTACTGCGCATGGTCTAGGCTGCCAAAGGCTTCATTTTAGCTTGAAACCTCAAAAATTCTCAAATTTTACTAGTTTTCGAAAAATGCCTGAAACTTTTCTATTTCGTTTTCAAAATTCAGACTATTTGTGCTCACTTGTAGCTCACATTGCATGCTACATGATGCCAAAGTTTGAGTGCGCCATGTTGAATGAGAGTGAAGTTATGAAACAAGTTGCAAAACTTAGTGTTCAACCTAATAAATAATATTACATATAAAATATTACATAATAATACATTAATATTACATTGAGAAAACTTCTTGTTAAGTTAAAGGCGCATAATGACAGCGTTAGGGTTAGCTTTTACAGAAACAGACAGTTATAGTCTGAAATCATTAGGTACCCATATTGGCTCAAATATACCAGGATATATACTTACAGGTCATTAGCATTAAACGTCCTTACAATTTACAGAAACTGTTTTGGTTTCGGTTTGAAAAGAGTGAGCTTGTCAGATCTCACGTAAAAAAAGAGTATATTCGTATTTGAACCTACTTTTTTGTAGACCCTTCAAAACACCCGAATAATTTTCTATCACAATACAGTCTCCTTCTGTGAAGCAAGTTCTACAATATACTATACTTTGCTAGAGACCCTTTATCACACTCAAATATAATTTCCTACCGTTTCTCCTTTTTAAAGCAGGATCTACAAGACACATAAATGAGCCATACTTCGCTTACGCCCCATATCTTTGTGCACATATGCGTACGCCACGCGCTTGGCTCAACCCTCAGATGAATCGTAGCGTCAGTGATCGAGCGGAACCTGCATTTGCACATCCCTCTTAGGCCTCGGACAGAGTTCACGCGATTTGATCGTCGCGATTCAATCGCTACAGACAAGTGTTACGATTTCATTGCATGCCGACCTTCTTGTATTTCGGTTGTGATAGTTTTACAACAAGACTAATCGAGACTAACTCACAATCTAAGGCTTTGGCCATACTTTGCCCGTGTTACCGGTGTTGAAAGTGTTGCCAGTGTTGAAAGTGTTGCCGGTGTTGAAAGTGTTAAAAGTGTTAAAAGTGTTAAAAGTGTTACCGGTGTTGAAAGTGTTGAAAGTGTTACCGGTGTTGAAAGTGTTGAAAGTGTTGCCGGTGCTGAAAGTGTTGAAAGTGTTGCCGGTGTTGAATGTGGGAATTATCAGTCTTGCAGTTTCATTCTTCTTCAAACGATCTCACCGGCTGGTGAGTTCGTCTGGAATAGAATTGGGAAATGGGAAGTGAGAAATGAGACTGAAATGAGATAGGAAATGCTTTCGCAAAAGCTCCTCGAACAAATTTTTTAGAAAGTGAAGGACTTGTTTAAAAGAAGCAATCTCCAACGCTGGAGAAGAACGAGAACGCTGCGAGACCTCCCAAAGATCTTTTGCTCACTAATCGCAGAAACGCCGGATTCGACACCTAACACGCATCCTCATTAGACCTTACATCTCAAGTGTTGGAGATTGCTTATTCAGAACAAGTCCTTCACTTTCCAAAAAGTACGTTCGAGGAGCTTTTGCGAAAGCATTTCCTATTTCATTTCAGTCTCATTTCTCATTTCCCATTTCCATCCCAGACGTACTCACCAGCCGGTGAGATCGTTCGAGGAAGAATGAAACTGCAAGACTGATGATTCCCACTTTCAACACCGGCAACACCTTCAACACTTTCAACACTGGCAACACTTTCAAAACTTTCAACACTGGCGCCACTTTCAACACCGGTAACACGGGCATTCGAGGAAGAATGAAACTGCAAGACTGATGATTCCCACTTTCAACACCGGCAACACCTTCAACACTTTCAACACTGGCAACACTTTCAAAACTTTCAACACTGGCAACACTTTCAACACCGGTAACACGGGCAAAGTATGGCCAAAGCCTAAATACAAAAATATTGGCATGCAGTGAACTCGTAACACTTGTCTGTAGCGATTGAATCGCAACGATCAAATCGCGTGAACTCTGTCCAGGGCCTTATACTGTTTGAGAGTTCCCTTCTGTTTTTGGCTCGCTAAAACACTAGATTTATACTCCTTCTGTGGCCTTATTCATCAACGAACACAGTTGGTCAGCCTACCAAGTGGGTTAGCCTGCTCAGTGGCCAACTAACCAAGGTCGGCATTCACGTACGCCTCCGCCGTGGTAGCAGTGATAACGTCTAAACGGTACCTAGCGACGTTTACTTCAAGCACGCTCTGGTTCCATATTTCTGTGCAAGTTGTCTATATATTGGGATTCTCACAATCGTTTATCTGCAACCCTCTGTCGTGTAGTCATGGGTACCTGCGCTTGGTCTCATTGTCAGCCGAGACGCTCGAGGGCATCAAAACTCTCAAAGCGAGGTTGAAGTTTTCGTAAAAATTCGATATGATTACAGCCCAAAACTGCCGAGAGCTTCTACTAATACATTAGGTCGTCCATAAGTCTTTTCATATTTGTACCTTCAAACTGATATTTGAAACTAAGGCGTTTGAAATTAACTGAAACAAACTAAAATCAGCGACTCTAATCAACGTAGTGTAGGAGTTTTCAGCTTCTCAGGTTTTCTTTTAGGAGTAAAATATGGCCCTATATGACACAAAACTCTCCTCAAAGTCCTTACCGCAATCCCATAATCATGACAGCGATCGGTTATTCGCTTTTTACTATAAATTTAAGTCGAACCCAGCTCTACAAAATATAATTTGGAGGTAGGCAAGAGACCCTGGGAAGAGAAATATCAGCGATCATACAGCGTATACATACTTTTGGGACACCCTGTATGTGCTTTGCTCATCCTCACATGGTAGCGAAACTCACCGCGCGCCGATTATCACGCATAACAAAAGCTACCCATTCCAAAATTTTCCCCCTTGTAAGATCGTTAACCTTACGTGGGAGAAACTTTTCGCAGAAGAACAAATGTTAATAGGTTTTTTTCACTTTTTCATGGATCTTTAATTGCCATAAGACCATGATCACCTTGGGTTACATTTCTGGGCTAAAACTCTCAAATTATTCAAAACTTTGACAAACTCATCATCTACGCATCAATCTTTTTCAGCGCTATTTTTGCAAGAAAAAAAGACTTGTTAATTTTCGTATTAACACGATGTCTAGGTATACATATCAAGTAAACCCATAATTACGCAAAAGGTCTGCATACAGACCCATTTCTGCTGGCCAGATGTTATATGGAATAGTCTGGCAAGTAGTGCTTAAAGGTACCGCTCATTAAGCCGTTTTGTGCTTTTGTACAACGAACCGAAATGCTGATAGGGGACTAGACCAAAATTCTGGCGCAGGACCATTGCAGGAACTTTCTCTATGGATTTTGTGGAAAAACAATAGTATGACAACCCTTGGTTTGTTATTACAAATCCTAATCTGCAAACTTCTAACAGACAGAATTTCATAAATGCTCTAACGAGCTTAAACGAAATACTTACATTCACTTCTGATCGACGCAAATTCTCTTCATCTCCTAAGTAGCACACAAGACAAGATACGTATAACGCATGAGTGAAGAATGATATGAACGACACTGAAAAACAAGCCGTTCATATGGCCGAAGCATAATGTAGCGCTTACATAGTTTTCCGTAACCATTCATGGCGAATCTCAGCTAGCAATAAACCTATTTCATGCTTCCACTTTGTGATATTGCGATAATGCGCTGACGTGTCCTTTCGTGTTTTTGCCTCTACACTTTCCTTCTACAAGTTTTTTCATGAGGCGAAGCAAACGTCTTTGAACTCTATGCATTTTAGAAACTTCATACCATGAAGCCGCTCTGGCATTCAAATGTGAAAGAAATATGCGAAACCAATGGAGGCGAGCCTACTGCGTTCAAAAAATACAAATTATCTATGTTTGTCCTTGTAGCAATCCTTTGCATTGAATTCCTGCTTAGGTCGTAAATTTATTTATTTTTGTAGTTTTTTACACACAGCCTCTGAACAACCAGTGCAACTTTTTACGGTTTTGCTTAGCGCAGCCATTCAAGAGTTAGTTGGTGGTCACTGTATGGTAATATGGGTAAGTAGCGTAAAGGAGCGGAAGCTTAATTGAGCATACACTAGCAACTTTTGTTTGAAGTCAATCTTCCCCTCTCAGGCACATATTGCCCCTTTCATGCTTTTTCGTTTCAAGTTTTTCAGTTATTCATCGCTTCAGACTTCATATTTCGCGTGGTTGTGCTTATCGCACTCTAATTATCGCACCAGCTAATGGCACCAAATTAGTTATCTAATTTGGTGTCATTAGCTGGTTCGAGCACGACCGCCGAATACGACTCCCGCTCTCAATGTCGCGATGAACCTTTTGCACTATCGTTTATCTACAGTAAGCATAAGAAGCTAGATTATAGAAGCTACAAGGCATAATGCTTGAAACAAACGTATTTGGCATGTTAAATAACCTATTTGGATTGAACAGCAAGCTCTGAAAATTGCAAATCTTGAGTCATCCATATTAGATGGTCTTTGTAAACAATTGACTTTGCTTTGAGCTGAGTAGCTACAATACCGCTCGTATTTTTGTAAAGCGACCCGCAGTCGCTCGACGTTGTTATACCACCGTCGCGTTGGCCACATCTCGCTTCAGAATAGACGAATTCTTAATTCAAGCACTATTGACTCAGCACGGGAAGCGCATCTTCTGGCCTATAGCAATGCGAGCTTGGACATAGTAGGAGGTCAGATTTCACGAACTGCTTCAGATTTTTGCTTTTAGGTTATCCAGTGTGGCTATGCATTGCATTCACTGGGCGACCCTATCTTTTAGAGCATACGAGAGGTATTGTACCTTTTGCTCAATGCAAAGCACTAGCAAGCTTGGTCAGAACGGCTGTCTAGTATCATAACTTATAATAACGGGCTAGGGGTGTTTATGTGACTTTGTGTGTGTGTGTGTGTGTGTATGTATGTGTGTGTGTGTGTGTGTGTGTGTGTGTGTGTGTGTGTGTGTGTGTGTGTGTGTGTGTGTGTGTGTGTGTGTGTGTGTGTGTGTGTGTCTGTAACGAAATTCATACAGCGGGATCCAGCCACCATCCCGAGCCCAAACATTAAATAGCGCATGCTACCAAGGTAGAACTCCAGCATGCAAAAGCACGAACGGATTCGTTGAGTGGGTCCCTCGGAATTTGCGCGCCAAACGGATCCACTTGGCTTCTGGCCCGCAAAATTGGGTCCGTATCAAAGCTTTTTGCAAAGCCGTGGATGTGTTTAGCAGGTTGATGTGTAAGCCATGGACTTTAGACCAAAAAGTGACCAAAGGTTTGCTGCTTTACGGAAACGACGTCAAAAAGTAATGGTCGCGTAAATGGTCAATCGCCGTGGTTTTACCTGAGCTTTTGAGAAGATTTTTGCATAGAGATGTAGCTCACGATAACTACTGTTTTTACGGCAACTACCAAGCCAAAAAAAGTTTCAAAACCTATTCAAATTGCATTTTTCTTTTGCGAAATGTTACATCCACGCGAGATCACTGATCTTACATAAAAAAGCTTTTAGTATGAATAGTTGTTTACATTTTATTCGCGATAGTCAGCATTGCGCGGTGAGTTTCAAAGCCATTAGTAAGCGAGAATAAGTAAGGCATATAGAGTAGAACCAGTGCGAGCCTCTGCGAAGCAGAGGTGACGCACTGGTTTTTGATAATTGAATAAAGCTTTGATTATTCTAGTATAACATTTGAATATAGTGTATTTAGCGGGGAGTAACAAAAGGCGCGATTGAATGAAATTCGAAATTCATATAAAGGAACAAAGTTATGAATATATTTCATTCGAATGACTTATTCAAAGCTGCATTCGAATGAATTTCGTACTTGAATTCCTCGAGTTTTTTACAAGCCAACTGCTGAGTTGTTAAGCTCGCTTCGTCTGCATTTACCTGTGCAAAAATAATGCATCTCTGCAGCCGTGATCAGTTTCAAACTGCACAGCATTCCTCCAACTGCTTGCGAAAGTAAAAAAAAGATGTAGATTTGAATTGATTGCTTTCAATCAATCAAACAGCTTGCACTGCTATTGACAACAAATCAGCAGAAAACAGCTATCAAATCGAAGCTCATGGCCCGAGTCATATACTGGGACTGTGCTAACGTCAGTTTCTCTTCGTTTGCATTGCTCAAGGTCCACAATAGTGAGCGCTCTTGCTTGTAAAACTGTTGTTTCACAATTGCCTCTATGTTTCAAAGATTTTTCGCGAAGGAATAAAGGGTCTATCATCTATATACAATTGATTCAACTGGCTGAGCTTCGGCAAAGGCGAGGCTTCGTGACCTAATTGAGGCTAGGTAATGATCAGAGAGCACTCGCGCGCGAGAGACGCAGGTGCGTCGCGGGCGCGAGCGGCCTGCCCTGACGGAGCTAAACCGGTTGAATCAAAGATATATATTGAACACAATGTCTGTGAGGATGTTCGGTAGGTTGTTAGTGCTTTATAGAAACGCCAGCCATTGAACCGATTGAGCTGAACCTTTGCACACCTATGTTTTCGATCCCGGCGGTGGTTTAGGGCTAATTTCGTGGCGATTTACTGGGCCCTTTTATCGATTTATTGATTTGTTTACTCAAATCCAAAAGAATGAAAACTTTTCATGCTCCAACCGATCATTTTTCCATAATCATGTAAGCAGGGCGGTAGAGTCCATTTCTATCTCAAAGTCGGGAAGATGCGGCAAGTCGTCTCAAAGCGCTTTTTGCGCATTTTTGAAGAAGTTTAGAAGGGTAAGCTTACATGTTTTGTGAGCTAAACTAATTTGGAGCCTCGGGTGAGGCCGGAGCTACCAGCTAGTAGCTTATAATAACGGGCTAAAGGTTGTTTACGTTTTTTTGTGTTTGTGTCTGTCTCTCCTTTACGAAATTCGTAGGGAGAGGTTCAGCCAACCTCTTGAGCCCAAATTTTGCATAGCTATCCTAGCAGCAGGAAAGTCCATTGTGCGAAAGCACAAGCGGATTCGATAAGTGGATCTCCTAGAGATTGCGCGTAAAATGGCTCCACTTAAATTCTGATCAGCAAAAATGAATCCGTATATAAACTTTTTGCGAAGTCGTGGATATGTTTGACAAGCTAATGTACAAGCTTTGGGCTTTAGCTCAAAAAATTCAGCTAAAGTTGGTTATTTTACAAGTATGGCGCCAAAAAGAATTAGGTGCGTAAATGTTCAATTTCCCATGATTTTACACAGGGCCCGGCAGGAGGTGGCATTTCAGGATTTTGAAAACGATATCCCCTTTGAAGTCAAAATTTCTTACGACTTCCCTTTTGACCCTATTTTTGGCCCCCGTAAGTCCCTGACAGTCCCGAAGTGCAAGCTGGTTGGCATGCAATGAACTCGTAACAGCTGTCTTGTCGCGATTCAATCGCGACGATCAAATCGCGTAAACTCTGTCGAGTAAGGGATCGTCCAGACCAGAAACACGTTGAAAATATGGGTCTCGCTGATCCACAAAAATATTGGAGGCAATGAAGGAAAACACACAAAGAAAAAGCAAAAAATTACAAATGTACAGAAACGAATGCAAAAATTCGATGTCATGTATATAACATATTTGCATAAATGCACCATTCCACCTACCTGAGATAGTCCGAATGAGCCGCAAATCGGTGACCTAAGTGCGACGTGCTGTAGTCGAAAATTCTGACATGCATGTCATCTGAGCCGAACAATCCAATTTCTGCGTGAAATAAACTTGGCAGCGCGCACTGGCAAATCACATATCTGAAGAATGCGCAAGATACTGGATTGAAACATAGTAAGCAACATAGGGCCCCAGCCAGACTTCAACTGAACAGCCCAGAACCGCTCAAAAACACCAAAGGCCCCTTTTCACGACGCATATGTACAAGAACACCTGGCAACGCTTAACTATTTGCGGGATAGGAACTCATTCTTGGATGAGCTATCTTGAGCGAAGTCTGGCCGGGGCCTAACGTACAAAAATACATGAAAATTCAAAAAAATAAACCTACTTTGAAAGATTTCAGAAGCAGCTGACTTTCGTAATTCCATATCTGAACGCTTTCACTGTAAAGAGCTGCCAATAGCCACGTTTCCGTGAGATGAAGGTCCACCGACTTTACTCGACTCGATCTTGTCAAAAACATTTCCTCAACTTTTGATGACAGCATGCCTGCAACAACCAGAATAAAGAAAAACGACGAAAACAAACGACCCAAATGAGCGAAAGTGCGGAGAACGACCACAATCCGAAAACTGAAGAAACACAATCACAAAAACAACTTTTTGTATAGAACATCACGACCAAATATGATCTCTGGCCCTTCTGAGCCCTTGTAGGGCTCGTCGAAGAAGCAATCTATTTAAAAATTGCGAAGATTGCTTCAATCAGCGATCACCAATTAAGCAAAAAGTCAAATTCTCGGAGTTTCCGCGTCGTCTGTGCAAGGTGCACCGATTGCGATTGGAGCGCGCTTTCTGAGGCCGATCATAACGCTGTGAACCCTATTTGGGGCTGTATCGAAGCGGTAGCTTGATGGTTTTGGAAGCGGATTTGAACATATAGTAATACTCTCGACCTAGTCCACATTTATGTAAAGAAATCTGGGAAATTATGTGAAGGGAAGCAGGGAGCCACCCCAGGTGGCTCCCAGGTGGCGCGGGAGCCACCTAATTTCGAAAAACACTTACCATTTTTTAAATTCACATAAGTTTCTCATAATTCTTCATACTTTTTTTGTGCTTATGGTCCTCCAACTATACAGCAAATTTGGTGCCATATCGTTACTTGTGCATTGAAAACGAGCCTATTTTGTTATTTTCCTCTTACAAGAATTGCGATTTGAATTCCCGCCTGCGGGCAGGCTAGCGATCGGAGCACAGAATCTTCACATTGCTGGAATCTAAGTTCATAGGACAGTGTGCATTGTTTATCGGTAAACAAAGGGGAAGTCGTATTTTGGGGTTCGGGGCTCCGCCCCGGACCCCAAAATACGACCTCCCCTTTGCTTTTTCGGGCCAAAAACGATATCCAGCTTGTGAAAGCGCCACCCCAGCCGGGCCCTGATTTTACATGATCATTTGAGGAAATTTTTCACAGCACAGAGATGTAGTCCACGATGATTATTGCAGTTATAGTGACTACCAAGCCATTAGAAGTCCATAAACTTATTCAAATTTGCATTTATTTTTCTGAGAAAAGTTTCATCCACGTGAAAATACCGATCTCACACAAAAAGCTCTAGGAATGAGTAGCTGTTTACAAATTATCCATGATAGCCTGCATAACGCGGTGAGTTCCAATACCACTATTATGCGGGTATGAGTAAGGCATACAGAAAGTAGGACCAGTGCGAACCTCTGCGAAGCAGAGGTGACGCACTGGTCTTAAATAAAAGACGCTGCGGTTGTAGTAGGAGATAGACGGTGCTGATAAATTTGCAATTATAGTATCACCTTGCGATAAAGTTTTGTTCCATAGTATGTAATAATTTTACATCAGGGTAAAGCGTGGGGTCGTGGGGTCGTGGCCCGACCGGGGCGGGGGAGGTATTGCGGGTAAGAGGAAGGGGTTGTAAAGGAACGAATTTGTTCAAAAAATTAAAGAAATACTAAGATCGAGTAAGTTGAAGAAGAAAAGCGCTCAACCGTAATTCTCACAAGTCCACCAGAGAAATGACTGTCGTGAACAGCATACTGATTTACTCGACTAACGACTACGACTCAGCCAAGTTTCAATTCTACATCTTACCTTGAAATTACCGTAAGGTCACCAAAAAAGTTTTTTCGTGTAAATTGTGTTGATTTCCTTAGTCGGCAGGCCAAATTACTTCAACGAGCCCTACAAACCATTACCTATTACGTTTATTAGTGCTTCTTAACGTCTAAAAAGCATGATTTTCAAACACGATTAACTTGGTCACAAAAGTAAAAGAACAACGAAGTATTACTCTTTATCAGTCTATGGAGAAATTGGATTTCATATCGCTTTCAAACACTGGATTAAGAAGTGCTGCCGAAATGTTAGTCCCGCGTTTTCTACCTCGATTGCTTCGACTTCACCGATCACCACAAGACCAAAACAAGTTGAAGTAAGCCCAAATATCTAACGTAGAATCTTCGAGGTTTATGCTAGCGAATCGAAACTAAGGTAGAAAAGCTTTTTTCGTGATAAAGTTAATCTGATCAGGCGCAATCGCTCAAAAGGTTAGGCTGCCTAAGCTTTCGTGAATTTGCGCCTGACCCCTCAACGCTATCAAAATCCAGCAATCACTCCATTCCTAGTATGAGTATTTCATAGCTTCTTCTTGGTGCAGTGGAAATTTCGAGCCGAACGCCCCTATCCTAAAAAAAATCATGGCCCTTTCAATGGGCCCATTCATTCAAGATCGGCCGTCAAGTTAAGTGTGATTGTAAAGTGCAGTCACCGAAAATCGGGCTTACAGTTGTCATAAATGTGAAAACTTTTTAGTAAAGGATGATGTCTTTCAGAATGTCACACTCTGAGGTTTCGGATGTCAAGAGGGAATGAAGGGGTCGTTTGAGGGCTTTCATGGGAGGGAAGGGGTGAGGTCGTTTTCGAAAGACTTGTGCCTGACATCTTGCTTAACTCTGGTTATCACAAAGCGCCCAAGATTTTCACACGGGCTTGCAGGATTATCTGACTACCAACTAAATAAAGGATAAATGCAGCGACGACTGTTGCCCTCATTGAGGCATACGGAGTTTGGTTTTGATTGGCACCGCGCATACTTCGCGCGATTTCACTCGGACGCGATTTGCCAATTTGCCAGACGTCTTTGAATGTAACGCCTGCTCAACACAAATGTCTGGCTTGTATGACTTTCGTAGATGAATAAAAAAACTGCTTTTGTACTCTCAAAATGCGCCTGCTATAACTTATGCACAGTTTAAGTACTAATCCACATGGTTACCGAAATCGCGTGATGTATAATATTATTATTTATTACATAGGCGCACCTATGCGAATAACACAACAAACGAAACAAACAACAAATTGATTAACAATAACAAACCAAACGCAGTAATTAATAATAACAAATCTTCAAACATGATAAGTGAGATAGAGCTAGGAAGAAAAGAATGCTACGAAGGGGAGGATAGATAGCTCTTGAGGATATTTCGAAACTGCCAACTTGACAGGAAAGTTGTTTTTCCTAATAAGCTTATCAATATCAAGAGTAACTCTGTTGACAGAAAAAACCCTCTTCACATTTTTCCTAGGTCGCTGTAAAACGACCTTACTCGAACCTCCTCTGGTTATGGAATTTCTCCTCTCAAAAAAGTCTGAAGCATTGAGCTTGCAGCTTCCAAACAGAATCTTATGAGCCATAACCAGATCAATAGACCAGATCAAATACGCGCCTTCTAGCGGCAAGAGTCTCAAGACCCAACTTATTATTTCTTAAGGTGTAATTGGGAAAGCGACCATATATGAACCTATTTCTCCTTACCAGTAGTTTCCTGGTAAAGCTGTTTTGGACTTTTTCTAAAACGTGAATACTCTTACTCTTACGAAGGTTAAAAACAACAGTCCCGTATTCAAGTAGCCTGATATAGACTTTATAAGCTCGCAAAAGAAAATCAATATTATTTGTCATGAAGGCTCTAAACAAACTGTAAACAGCAAAAGCTCCTTTTGCAGCAATTGACTGACAGCGTTCAAAGTTAAGTTGGCTATTAATCAAGAAACCTGAGTCAGTCACTTCGTTTACATACTCAAGTACATCATGCCCTATCATGTAGGAATAGTCAAACGAATTGGGCCCTACAGACAATACCTTCGTTTTCTCACGTGAGATGGGCAAGCGCCATTCCTTCCGATCATCTAACCACAAGATCTAGAGCCCCCTGTAACTTACCTTATCACCGCGGTCACAATTGGTACTGTAGATCTTGAAGTCATCAGCGAAGGCTCTACAAGAAACACCAGCATTCAGTACAAGATCAGGAAGCTCATAAATATATATATATATATATATATTGAACAATATCGCAGAAAGGACCCCACTTTGGGGCACGCCACTCAACATGGGTCTAGGAGTAGAGAAAGCCTCACTAACCAGGATCATAAAGGAACGTTCATGCAAAAAGGCCTGTATCCAAGATACGACATGAATTCCAACCATTTTCAACTTAACTATAAGCTTAACGTACGAGACTTTATCAAATGCTTTAGTGAAATCGAGATAAATAACATCAATGCCTTTCCCTGCATCTAGGGCTCGAGTCCAGTCATTTAGCGAATGTAACATCGCTGTGACTGTTGACTTTCCCTCTTGAAACCCATGTTGAGCGTTTGAAATGATTCCATGGGAAGTTAGATGCCTCACAATCCGCTTCTTAAAGTCGCACACTGAGTAGTACTCTATGTCGCCCGCTACTTTCGTGCGGCTATTACTATTCACTAACATCACGGTGGATCCAAGGTTCGTTCTTCATCTATGCGTTTCTCAGTACGTTGTGCATGGGACAACGTGTGGACAAAGCAGTGCTTGGCGATGGCGTTTGGCGGTTTCGCTCCGTGAATGAAAGAAGACTGCAATCTGTTTTCAGACATCCGAAGAACATTACAACCGTAAAAACCTAGTTTTGTCATAATATAACTGAAAACAATGCATCAATATGCCCAGGTTTAGAGAAGAGAGACCCTGGAACTTAGTTAATAATAATAATGCCATCCAAGATTGAGGGCCGGATTGGAAAAGTAATAAAAGACAGAACTTGCTTCCACCCGAACCTTACACTTCGAGCGGCAGAGCTTTCCTTTTTTATTATTGAAGTGTTGTTGCACTTGTTTAGGCGTCAACTCAATGTCGAAACTTCTAAACTTTCTTCTATATTGCCTTCCATACATCTTTTCTGTGCTCGTTTGCACTTAGAAAACGGTCACTCTGATCGCGGCGAAGTATATTCCTATTTTTGAAAACTGAGTCAACAATTAAGGTTAAAGCCTTGTTATTCAGAGGTGTTGCCCTCCTTTGGCGTGATCTTGGAAATACACCCACGTTTACATTTCAATTATTGAACTTATCTTTAGTGCTTTTCATCGCAAAAGGCTGCACTGGAATGTGAAAGAATATCGGTTCCATACAAGGCCCTAAGGACGATTGCGAATATGTCTCAAACATATTACTGGCTCCCAAATTTGTAAAGAGGCGGAGTATTTGGGACTTTGCCAAGGTTGATGCGTTTGTTGAATTCCCGAGTTCCTATTGCTTGAGTTTTCTTGTCGTCGAAATTTGCAAGTGTTTTAACTGATAGTTTCCGCATCTATACGATTCTGGGAGTTGAGCGTAACTCCACTAGGTATCACCTACGATATGGTACGTTCAAACGCGCAGAACAGAATAATTCTTTGACTTTACTAACAGAATGGCTAGTCCATACAAGCTATCATATCAGTCGATGCAACATGGAATGCTGATTTTGAATCTGTCTTCCACATCGGCAGAGCACCTTTGTAGGCGAAGTTATGAGCAGCTTTATTGCGAAAAAATCTTCCAAAAAGAAATTAGACACATTATTGCCTTTTAGCTCACCTTTAGGTATGGGCCATATGAATTGACCTAGTTGCATGATTTTGTCCAACACTGAGCCGAAAATGGCTTTGTAGGGCCAACTTTGCCCTTTACACGCACAATTTCTTAGCAAAATATAATGGCCTTTAAAGGCACCGTCCACCCAAATTTTCGATTTCCATGTTTTTGTCGCTTCCAGCCTTCTGAAGGCCCTGATTTTGAATATGAAGTCAAAAATCCCCGAACCCCAAAAAGCCTTTTTGGAGAAAAAGCGGGTCGGAGTGCAGGTCGCAGGGCTGCGGCGCGTTATACGCCCGACGTATATCAGCACCACAGCCCGCCAAACCTGCAGAATGGGCGGAGTGACCAGCTCTGGATTACGTGCCTTCCGAAGCGATTTATTGCTCCGGAAGGAATCTTTTGCATGGAAATTTGGAAGTTGGCATAGTGTGGGGGCCCACATTAGTATGCCATCGAATCTCGCGAACCCCGTTTTGAGTGAACGGTGCCTTTAAAGGCTCATAATTTCGTCCACAAAAGTGCTCTGCAGATAAGGAAGAGAGTGAGCGGGAAAAGCGTCAGAGTCAGCGCTTCATCCTGCATCTAATGGCACGCAGTTGGCTTGAGTTGGCCACTTCCATTTCTGACGACTCCTTATAAGGTACTTTACGCGTGAACGTTTTGAACTAACATAACTTTGTCTCAAATGAAAAAGTAGTCAGGGCACTTTTATCTCAGACATTCGCCATTGAGTCCCGCAGGACAAAATGAGGTGTAGTCACGGAATGCCTGCGCGACTCCCGAAATCGGTGTCGGGACAAAATCAGGACACCTGATTTTGTTTCGGGACAAAAGTGCGCGACAATATCTGGTGTCCAGACAGACACATTCCGGACAAAATCGGAACACCTGCGGGAGACATCATAATGTCCCGATCGCGTTCAGAACATGCGGTCTACGCTCTTGTAAACGGATTTTTGCGTCCTCTATAACCTCTCCATGCCTCCTTCTTCACTTACCTTGTGCCCTTGGTCTCTTCGGGCCTCATTTCTCACGCCTTTTATTTTTCTGCTCGTAACACCCAGTCAAAAAACAAATTTATTAACAAAAACCATTTTTCTCGGCAAGATTTACATCCAAATGAAAATGAAGTGCAGGGAAAGCAGCAAACATAAGGTTCAGGAGCGACACGAAGGTACTAAACAAATACAGCAAAAACTACAATGTAATCATTATTATCGAGCTTCCTCAATCTCTTCAACGATTCAGTCTTCTCAGTTACTAGTTCCATGGTAATACTGCTGCCATCGATGCCTTCGATGACGACACGCTTTTTCTGAAAATCAAAAATCATCGATACCTGTGAACATATAAAACCCACCGAATGAATAACGAATCACCTTTGGCGAAAGAAGTGTGGCTTTTTCAGGATCAAAATGGTAAGTGCGGATGTCAGCGCTGCAAGGGCACAATTTAAAAGTATCGCTTCTTTTAAAAGTGAGAGGAAACTCACAATTCTCTCCCCATAGCTATTCCTGCACGACCGCTCCAAACCACTCTTGTTCCAGAAAGTTCGTTGAAAAATTTCCCGCGAGCGTCGTCCTCTTCTTCTAAGGACATCCATCACCTAAACTCTAGTGCATATGAAGGTCTTCCGAGAACATAAATACCTGTTTGAATTTCGCTTTTGTTCAGTTGGGCTCCGCAGAAGTTCGTCGCAGTATAGGCTCAAAGCGTCAAGCACAAAACCTAAATCAGTCATTGAAACAAATGTACTTGAAGACACATTGACCCACCGCACCCACTCACTAGCTCGATGTAAGCGATCGGTGAATGACAACGTGGAGGACGGCCTCTACCGCAACAGTAGCAGATGAAAAACATAAAAACATAAACATGATATTTTGAGGAGGAAACCGCAATCTAACTCCAACGAATTACTGAAACTTACACTGTTATTGAAGGCAGTGTCTCGGAAGAATTTCGTCTCCAGACTTTCACCTCTTCGGGCCTCTTAGCATGAAAAGACCATATCTGGGCTTTTCAGCGCATAAAGATGGCGAAAATGAGCTTTTTCCAAAGCCCTCTAAGTCCACATTCACTGGAGATGTGAGCGGGGTCTGGAACGAGGAAGGCGGGGGGCGTTTTCCGGCGTATCTTCACTGATTTAGGATCTGAAAAGCTTTGGAGAAACTCATTCAACATTTTTTGCGCTGAAAAGCCCAAACATGAGTTTCTCATGGCGAAAAGGTCCCGAAAAGTTGAAAGCCCGGGAAAACGAATTCTGCCGAGACGCTGCCTTTAGTTTTCCACCTTAAAGAGCAACTCAACACTGTCGGTGATATGAGACCGCACACCCAACTTGCAAAAAACCTGCACTTACCTAAGGTGCAGCAATAATGATAAGCCTGGCTGTGTGTGACTGAGAAAATGAGAGCGGAGCTTCCTTGGAAGTTGAATTGAAAATGAAACTAATGCTAAAGAAATTGCTGTGATAAAGCTCAAGATTACGGCAGCAGTACAGAATGAACTCAGTATTTGGAGATGTACTCGTTTAAACATGCTCCCGCGCTTCGGGACAAAATCGCACCAAAATCGGGACAAAACTAAAATGATGACTCCCGCCGGTGCACCGGATTTTGGTGCGACCACCTATTTTGTGGGCGGATCTCCTGCGGGACTCAATGGCGAATGTCTGAAATATTTTGAAGAATGATCTAATGGTTTCACGTCTGCGTCTCGTGTAATAAAGTGCTATTCCTAATACTCTACATGATAAAACAATGTTAACCTGTTGGATATTTCGTAGTTTGGTTCAAAATAAAACAATCATGGAACAAGCATGTCAGTGTGTTGTTTAAACTCAGAAATTCGCGGTTAAGTCCGCCGGTGAAACCTTGTGTCCCGACGGAATGTCTGTGAGGGCAAGTAAGACAGTTCGCAAACCGGGACTCCTGCATTTCGTTCGGGATAATGCTGCGCGACACAAGCGGTTGTCCCGGAGTATTTTCTACTGAGAAGGGAGCTCCTGCGGAAGATCCGATAATGTCGCGATCCAATCATCGGCGGGTCGCTCTAGGCTGCGAATTCCGGCGGGAGACGCGATATGGTAGCGATTCGATCAGCTGCTCGCTAGCCTTTTTCTCAAACTGGAACCTTTTTCCTTTTCCTTCACTCAAAAATTCCTTTTATACGCACTTTACAAAGGTGCTGTGTACGCTACAGAATTTAGCATTATTTATTAGCTCTCATGGTCAAAAAATTATTGAATCATTAAAACAAAGTTGACCGAAACAAGTCTGGAGTATCTAGATAAACATTTGAGGTTCAACCCATAAATCAAGTTGACTTCACTTTCTTTCGATCACTTCGTCTTGCTCATGTTCCGCCTCATTCGCCTGCTCGTGCGCCAAAGAAGCATAGCATAAACGTTTTTTTCTGAAAAAAAGGTTCCAATTCTAATTTGAAAATATTCCAATGTTCCAATTCTAATTTGAAAATATGAAGATTACAGGGTGGCGTCAGTTTTTTCCTTATCAGCATCAAATCGATACGTGCGTACATTTGCTCCAATTTTTCATCATATAGATTTTAAAAAACAATCTTGTAAAAGAGACTTACAAAGCTTTTTCTATAGCCACACGTGCTATTCTATTCCCATTAGATTCGCCCCGGACAACTTGTCGAACGTTTTTTTGCCCTAGTTTCGTCGTCGTCCCCTGAGCTCAGTCAGAATCAAAATCAATGACATATCAAGGACCGAAACACTTTTATCCATAAATATTTCTTTTCTTAGCAATTATAAGCGTATTCAGTAGCAATCATTTGAATTTCTTCTGCATTGAGGCCAACAGATCGAGAACGATATCCGGAAAATCTATCACAAAAATTTTGGAAAGGCCATTAATCACTCACTCATCAAAATGTAACCAGACTTACGGGCAGATTTTGCAAATGACAAAATCTTCCTATTTTACCGGATTGTCTGCATGCCAACTTTTATTTTCTTGTTTTGACTCACAAAGCCAAGTGCCACCTCTCAATCAAGATAGACCCGAAATTTTAGTCTCACTTACATTCAAAAATCGCTAACAGAAATTGGTCATTTATATGTGTACTAGTTGCACCGCTGCACCGCGCTGCTCATGCTGATCAGCGTTGCAACTACATATTTATTAGTGTAGCAGCTTACGCTGATGACATTAAAATCTATGGTAGTTACGATAACAATAATAGTCTAGTAATACGCGAAAAGTTAAAATTGTCTGTTCATAAAATGCTGCAATGGGCTAAAGAATGGGGACTCAAAGTTAATTCATCCAAAAGTCAGATACTGAAATTAGGCGCAGATTCGACTATATTCGATTATGGAATTCCCTTACAAGTTCAGCAAAATGTTAGGGACCTTGGAGTGGTTGTTGATTCCTCTTTCAAATATTCATTACACATTGATAATATTGTTTGCAAGGCCAAACGCACAATGTACACCTTACTAAGAAACGTACATGTACATGATATCAACACCTGGCTGGAACTCTGGAAAGCTTACGTACTTCCTGGTTTGGAATATTGCAGTCCAGTTTGGAATCCTGATGTCAAAAAAGTGATCGAAAAATTGGAAAAAGTTCAACGCACATTTACTAGAATCTTATTCTACCGAATATTCCCAAATCCTGATTACCCACAGGCTCTTCCTGATTATAAAACTAGACTAACCATGCTAGGACTCAAAAGCTCATATCACAGGAGGTTATGAGCTGACATATTGCTAGCATGCAAGATCTTCAAATCTAAAACACGATTGAGATTTTCGGACTTCTATATTTTACGTCCCACCAGTATCCGTCGTTTTAGAATTAACGCCTACACACATAATTCCAAAGGATGGCGAAAACGTAGCCTACAGAATTCATTTGGTGCCCGCATGTGTCACATACTGAATAAACTTCCTATGGAACTAATACCTTGGATCCACATAAATTAAGGAAATTCCTAATCGAACATAATTACCTTGACAAATTTAGTTCAGATTGTATTTCACTTCTCTGTTGAATTTTTTGTCTCCCTATGATTACCTTCCTTTACTGCTGCATTTTTCAAAGTATTTTTGGGAGACGAAATGCAAGTGATAGTTCTCTATTCGCATCCACTTTCATATCGTATCCTTTTTCCTTTCTCGTCGATTCTGACTGCTTCTCAGTTGTACAGTTCAAGAAAATCTCCCAATATACCGATAACAAGGAAACTACTACTTACTCACGATTGTATTAGAGAACCCTGCTAATCGATTTTTATGTGCTTTATCTAAACAACTCAATGCACATTATTGGAAGCTTTGAACTCGCACATCAATCAGCATTTCGTTGCTCAAATATGGAGTTAGTGAAGGAACCAACTAACACATGTATGTATGTATGTATATGGATGGATGGATGGATGGATGGATGGATGGATGGATGGATGGATGGATGGATGGATGGATGGAATGGATGGAATGGACGATTCGATGGATGGATAGATGGATGGGTACATCATGTACTTGAAAATGACATGCTACAAGTAATACTTCATAACACTTCGTTATTTTGAGCGCAATATATACTACTTATGCTGGTCGCTATGCATGTGTTCGAAGCTCTGATAATGTGCAAGAAATGCATTCATATTTTTTGAGAACTGATTCATAACACCATTGCCATCCAAATTACTCTACATTATCTACCTTCAAAACACCATCAAATACATACTTTCCCCAAAAGTTACATTTACAACAACGTCATTCGTGGCCTTGTCAGTAGCCCATGAGCTTTTCCTCTTCCTGAACTTATATAAGAACTCTATAAAATTTGTTATTCGGATACGACTCGAAAGTGAGAGCAAATTCAAAGTCATTCTTGTTTTTTTCTCCCATCCCCGCCATATTTATTTGTCTGTCTGTATTTCATCTGTGAGGTGGTGCATCGTTTATGATGTATTTGATAAATAAATAAATAAATAAATAAATAAATAAATAAATAAATAAATAAATAAATAAATAAACATTTGCAGCCAACTTACGCTTACTTTTCGTGAGCTTGTCTCAGCTCCCTGGAACTGCATCGGCTGTCGCTAATCATCTTATATATAAAGCTGAATGCAGGGTCAAGCGTGTTGATGCGATCCGATCAGAGGTGCGATAGTGGGAGCCAAGTCTCCCCCTACCTTCACTTTTGAGCTGGTACGGGATGACCACCTTCACTTTTGGAATAAAAAATTTTTCGCTGGACGACAAAGAAGGAAAATAAGCAAAACAAACGCAAAAAAGATTATTGAAAGCATATATTTATGTATACGGCGGCATATATATTTAGAGTAAAGGTTTTTAGTAAATGGTGTATTTGGAAGTAAAGCTTAGCAAAACTGTACGGATTTTATTAAGCAAATTATGTTATAACGTATATCGAAGGAAATAGGTCGATCCAGGCAGTAACGGCCGAGAACCAGAATTTTGAATATTTAAATAGTGAAAAATCATGCGAAATTTCCAC